TTTGATATTGTGGAAGTACGAAGATACATTTATACATACCAAATTATTATACTCAAAATCAAAATTTCATAATTTTTGTAATATTGCTGTTTAATTGAATTAATATTTTAACTATTAACTGTTATTTTGTAATTATAAGCATTCATTAATATTTTTGACGTTGGTAACACTGGTCAACATACAACTCTTCCGTGGCCGTTTTTACGTTGTGTGTTCACGTGACGCGTGATTGCTAATTGAAGTTATTTTGAAATTGTTATCTATTCAGTATAGTTATTCAGATACGCACGTGTATTCCATGCAATCATACCACGGAGAATGTAAATTCGACATTTATTGCACGATTTTATGTGTTATTTGATATTTTAATGTCAAGAATATGACCTAAAAGATTATGAACCTAAAAAAATATTTTAGTGATCATGGGGTAAATGTTTTGATTTCACACCATAGAAAAAAGACGAATTGCTATATTTATTCGTCATTGTGAGTACACGCAAAAAGAAATTGCTAATTAAGAAAGAGTTTTGCAGTAAATAGTTGGAAATATCAAAAGCTTCAAGTGGATGTCCATTTATAAAGCAAAAGAGTAGGAAATAGTGGCAAAAAAATCACTTCAACTGTTGTACGGAAAATACGTCGCATTGCATTAGAAAACAGTTGGAAACCACAAAAATGTGAAAACATGATTCTCAAAGATGCTAGAGTGCATCTATCAGTGCCAACTCTCTCAGAAGCTAGTTTGTAGAAATGGATCACAAGTGCCTACGACCTGTGAGAAAAAACAATCTCATACCCGCAATAATGAAAAAGAGGTTAAATTTTGTAAAAAGTAATGGAATTGGACAGAAGAAGATTGGAACAAGGTTTTCAATGTGTTTAAAAAATTAAAACATGTAACGAGTTCAAAAACGTCTAAACATATTATTATGCAGATTGGCTTCCCACACTAGTCGTCAATCCAGATCTTGCAAGACAATGCACAGTTCATTCAACGCACGCTAATGAGAAGTACAATAAGAACTGCATTGTGGAACGAGTAAAACATCCTCTTTCTGTTCTGATATGATCGGTTATTAGCTGTCATGGCACAGGAAGGCTTTACTTTGTGCAAAGAACCATGCGTCAGGACCAATGTATGACGGTGCTACAGAAAAATTCTCTTTCCACAGGTAAACAAATTGTTCCCGAACGACTTTGTGTTCATGCATGATTCGATTACTTGTCACAAAACATAAAGGGAACAGATTTTTTTAAGAAAAACAACATAAGACCCCTAGACTGGCTAGACTTCCCAGGAACTCATCGTATACGAATCAAATACAATAGATGTGTGGGAGGAATTCAAAAAAGAAATACCAGAGGGGGAGAAAAAAACATGAAAATTACTGACACTTGGTAAAATTACTGACACTTGGTATAATGCTCTTCTTGTCATAAAAGGCCATAAAATGTATCAAGAGCATACCAAAACACATGAAAACTCTCAAGAATGCCAAGGGAGGGTGAACAAAATACTGAAGAAGTTGTTTCCAAAGTGGTGCATAATTTATTGAAGTATTAAACCATCATTTTTTATTTTATTCCTTTCTTAAATACCCTAAAAATAAATAAAATAAACTTTAGTTTCATACAATATCCGTGAACACATTTACCTCATTACCATACATAGGTGTCTATTTTACCAGAATGACAATGTTTGAAACAGGGCTACCAAATCAAATAGACAAATACACCAAATTGTCACTTATAAACCGCAACGTAATATTACCAAACAGAAACGGACACGTTTTCGGAATTTTTCTTCACAAATGTTGCATGTGTTTTTACTTCAGACGCATAAAAATTAATTTATTTCCAACAAAGAAACAACCGTAGAAAACTGGAAAGATTACAACGTATGTAAAACTAGACATAAATAGCATATCTAAAAGGAGAAGTTCACGTGAATAACTCACCGAATGTAGCGAAACATTATTTGTCACTGGGGTAAAAAAGAACCCAAATACAGTCTAAGAGTTAAAGAATAAGTGGCGGTTCAACATTTCCCTTTACATATTTTGTTCCATTTAATGTTATCATGTATTACGGTTGATAATACACTGCTAATACCATACTGGTTCACAATGTCGCGGCTAAAAGGTTAGAAACAATGCAAAACTAATTTGTTAAACGTTTCAGATGAAACCAATTCCAACTGCAAAACATAATAAAAGTATTTTAATTTAAATTGCTGCTCTTGAATATACTTTCAGAGTACCTATATGATTTTCCTTCTGAAAAGGAAATGCAAAAACCAAATGCTTCACTCACCAGTTGGGTTGCTCTGAGAAGCTCCATGCCACGTCTATTAACAGGTTTCGCACTCGTATTATTGATTATGCAGGATTCTTTGTAAAATTAACATTGTTAATACATCGTAATATCACTCGCAATACAGTTATCACTACTGATAGTATCTTCTGTACTCTAAGTATAATCGTATTACCCGCGCAGCTCATGTCGACCGACGACCTGCCTTCCCCCTCCCTGGCACAATAAACAGTTGAAGGTAAATGCTCGATGCTAGCGAGCACCGATGACAAAATTCCAAACGCATCTTTGGCGCGTAATAAAAACTATTTGCTGTTGAAACGAGATCTCCTGTTCCTGTTTTTCTCCAAAACATCTAAAGAAATGGCCGAAGCAGGTCCAGATTCATTACAAGAGATTCCTTGAATCCTTAAGAAAGTTAGAAGGCAAATTATTGAAAAAGTTGCAATGGTATGACTGATATTCGAGATATTGGCATTGCTTCATAAAATACATAGTGGCCAATTTCGATCCGTGCGCTATACCTCCGATTTCGGCGTATAATTTGCGAATTGCATTTGGTTGCCCTTAGTTACCCTGTTAAATAAATCAGACTATTAGTACTCCGTCAGGTATGACTTTTTTACTGTTGAAGTTATGGAATATTTTTAAAACAAAGGGAGGCCCCCCTATTTGCTTCCGAAGGCAGAAAAATGGTAGAATGAGTTAGACAAAGAGATCTTTCAGAGAAGATACGTTTGACAAAATAAATATTAAAGAAGATGAAATTATCTATAGCTTTGCCAACATTTCATTTATAATATTTACATCTCAATACGGTAGAAATAATATTTCCTATAGAAATCACATTTCTTCAGCAAAAAAACAGGAATTCTCTTTTGATAATTGTCATTCCTGTTCATCATCAGTAATATAAATCATGGGCAGCCTGTTACCTGCTGAATAATAATATTGTTTCTAGTAATGGGTGCGGCTATTATTGTATTTAATATTATATAATTTGGTCTTATCATTCTATCAGTGCGAGTTATTGTTTAATAAGGTCATATTATTAGCTTTTGCTTTTAATTAAAGGTATGGTCACAGTTTATCTTACTTTCATCTATTAGAAAGTCTCTTGACTTTTACATTCACTAGGAGATTATCAGATATAAACTTCCAAAACCCAAAACTAATGTTGGTAGACATCGTTAGCATAATCAGGCAAATAAATGGTCAGGAAATTTCAAACTATACCTTTGAATAAACAGCTATCACATGAATTGAAATGAATTACAAGGGTTTAAAGAAAGAATACAATAACAATTGAACAAAAATGCTACTAAATACATAAATTCGGTTATAGGTTTTTTTTTGTTTGAAGTAAATACATAAAAAATTAATTTAATTAATAAATATTTTTATTTATTTTATTAATGTAGAATATTGAACCCGATAAACTTTTCTGGTAAATAAATGACACTTTTGAAAAATTTAATGCACAAATACAGGATTGTTATTAAACACTAACTTATAAACACAACAAACAAAAATAAAAAGGAGAGACATGGCAAAACTTGCAAAATGGTTTCAATGTAATCAATATTTATTGCTTTCCTAACCAGTTAGAAAACAAATATAAAAACTCGATTACCAAACTCATATAGCTAAAAACAAACAAATAAAGACTGTAGTCTGTATTTGATTCAACACTAATATAACATCTGGACAAAATTTAATTTTCTTAAAGAATATATTGATTGTTCATCATATCTTGATAATATTCAAATTTTAAGCAGATTAACTTGCACCCTCAACTTATGTTCCTTCTTAAATTCAAATTATTCTGTAATGCTTTTAGAATGTGGAATCTATGAGGTAATGTTCGCATTCCCGGAAGTAGATAACATTTCATAATTTTTGGTTCCTCCCACACCTGTCCTATTTAGGTATAAAATATTCCTCTTGAGGGATATATTTATTAATTGCTTTTTCTAAATATGAATATTATTGACATGAATATGATTGTAGAAATTTTAAAATGACTGATTTCATCACTGCCAACAAAAGTTTTTTCGGTAATGACAAAACTTGTTTTAATTATTTATAATGGCAATGATATATCACCAATCCATTAAGTTATAGTTATAGTAAAGAGTACCAAAGAATTACTTCAGTAAACTGAAGTGTTTCAATTCTTTTACCATTGAGAGGGTAGAATTAGAATAAAAAGAATAAATGAAAAACTAAATTCTGCTCTCTACTAATTCTCTAAAGGATGGTTCGGATACTGACAAAAACTGTTAACAAAATTACTAGAAAGTAGAAATATCCACATTGAAAGGCCAAAACAATTTTATGTATATTACTTCCCATATACAACAGTCCTTAAATGTTTTACAGTTCAGAAATCCAAATCTGCAATCAGTCCAGATATAAATAATATTATAAAACCTTTCTGATATTGGAATCATAATCTAGTTTAGAATATGAACATACATTAATAATATACACAAACTATTCATAGACGTAATGGAATGAGATATCATAAGGCAGATGTATAATCAATATTGATTAACGTTTAATTAATCTTTCTTTAAATTCAATTATATTATATAATGTAATTGAATTTTGAAATTTATTGGAGAAAATCATATGTTATTGTTTTTTTGCCTACATTGCATTTTCAGTAATGAAGTTACAATAACCTGCTTCAACTTCCAGATTTGTCTTTAAATCACCTGAAAATAGAAGCATATTTTTCATTATACTAGTATATATTCCTATGGATTCCAAGAAGTACAAAACATGAAAATGGACTTTTGAGAACAGAAATGCATGAAAATGTCCAAATATCATTTTTGGGATCTCTTTTGTGAAAACTAAAGAATGTTGTACATATTTAACATTTATTCCAGTACGTCCCATCAAAACAAATCTTTGTTTGTTTTCCTTCTTCTTAATAAGACAAAATAACACCTGGGCAGGATTATTTCCAGTCTTGGAATTTTATGACAATTATACCGAATTTGTTTTTGTTTCATTAATGAACATGGTTAATCTTATCGATTTATTATATATGTTTCATCGTAAATGATTGCACAGGCACTACTTGCATTTGAATGTTTCATGACATCAGATTTTTTTAATAGTTTTGACATCCAATGTCGTAAAATTGTTATATTTCGTTGCATTGAAAACTACTGAAACAATTTTTGCATGTAGCCCTTCGCCAGGTCACAAAGTATCAAATTTATCAAAAATATTTGTAAAACTCTCAAAAGGGAACCAATACTTTTGTTTTGAAAATTAAACACAAAACGTACAAGGTAGATAAAACCAAAAGCACTTACTTTGAGTCATATAAACTGCATTTTCTAATCCCAAATCATAAGTCACATGCAGCACGTATGAATGCAGTCATTCCATTAAGTACACAGCGTTGTAGCGGTTTCCATAGTTGTATAAATAGGATATTCATTATCACTCCTGTTTTTTAAACTACACTTTTAACGTTTTTATAATTGCTCTTGAATTGCTGAACACTACTTAATGCATTGAAATTCGTTTATAGGTTACGCCATGCCTCTTTCTTGCTGTTGCAACTTTGCATACAATAATGTTCGCGTATTTGTCAATGACAATGTCAATTTCTTAAATAGAAATGTTAGATTTATTGGCCCTGTAGCCATTACTCAGTACGCGAAGCAATATAATATGGCATGGCTTTGTTTACAAATAGAATCTTGATATGGAGGTATTCTACAGCCAATCATATTTACTTTAACATTCTGACCAAGGGTAATCATCGAATTCACCAATTCTCTGATGACCGGGGCTAGTGAATAAGAACAGAGAGATATCTTGAGTGTTAACCAAATCCGCGAATTCCTCGATTGGCAGATTATTTTCGGAGTAATCCATGGTTGAGAATACGGCCGATAGTAACTCGATTCGCGATTCATAGTTTCGTCCATAAAGAGTACAAGACGAACTTCCATAGCTCTGTAGAAACTTGTACCCGTGAACTATGTGAAAAAATTGAACGATACCACCTAGAAAATTGCACAGAAACAGAAAATCTCTGAGTCATTACAGAAAAGAGTAATGAACATTCAGTGCTCACTCGGGTGAACTTTCTAACTTTATTAATAGTTTATTGTTTGCTCTAGTTTTTGATATCGCTTACATCGAACTACAGAAGTAGTTTTTCTACGTAATTCAACAGAAATAATGGAATAAAATAATATGATAATCTTAATCTGAAAACAGTTTTTTAAGTTCGTTTTTATCTTTAACTTGTACGCCTACAGCGGCATTAGAGACCCATCATGCCGGTACAGACTGGAAACTTTCAGGGCGCTAACCTCTGATCCTAGTATATCCGTACTGATTTCTTGTTCAGAATCGTCAGTAGGGATTTTACGCAATATGGCACTTTTAACTTTGTAGTTTGTATCGGGAAAAAATTGATGCTGATAACTGTTAATCTTAAGACATGCAACTAACTTTCTGTAGTCACCGGACGTGGCAGAAGTCACACTTGTTTGAGATATCTTTAGAAGAGTTGTAAAGTCATCACCTTTCTTATTGGATTTTACTGACATCTTTTTATAATTGTCACATTCATGAATTATAATCTGCAGAGGTGGACTGTCGTGCCTCTACCTCTATTGCAATATTTTTACATCTATTATTTATTTTACCTGATATTCAAAATATATGGTTAAATTTTAATACTTAACTTTCCGGCACGAGCGGCATTGGCATATTTGTATTACGATCGTGAGACTTAAGTCCCTCCTGTATAAGATAGGGAAATGATATTGATCATTATTTTCTTTGTTTTGGTGATGGGAGGGAAATTGACCTTTCTTGATCTATAAACAAAAAAATCATACACATCATTCAAATATATTCAGCGCCGTGACCAATAGTACCGTTAATTTATTCGGCGGTGTTAATCTGCGCCGTCGCCACTTTGCTGTGTGACGCTACCATTAAAAAGCACAAAAAATAACCTTTAACACAATAACATTGAATCTAACTTCACATTCACATTCAATACAAAAAAATATTTACACAATTCCCATTCATACTGTTCACGTTATTAGTTTGATGGCCATCCTCGTTATTTCAAGGTATTTACCAAATGTATTACAGTGCTTGGCCTTCTCATAAATATATATTCTGCACGTGCGAGGTAATATCTGGGAATGACCACTTCTCTGAATATAATGTTGCCGTCGTTGATGTTGCCGTGAATTCGCTCCATCCACCATTTCACTATTCCATTCCATCAGATGGGCTCCCCATTTCCACATTGCCACACTTCCTAGGCGTTTCGGCACAAGACCTACTAAATCCAGTACTTCCATTGAATCCCAACTATCTAATTACTGACGTCAGCGCATACTCCAACACCCCTTCTCTCCGATAGCTAATTTCACTCTCTTCAAAACACGAAAAGTGCCATCACATGTTACACCATGTTGTCAGCTCAGCATCTATCATCCCTCTGTGTCTTCTCCAGTCAGTCTTTCGATTGTTTTTTGTTTTTTTTAAACAAAACAAAAACGCTCGCTTTCCTTTATTACCGAGATGTTTTGGAACATTTTTTTATATTTCAATTTATTCTATTCTTATTTGATACCTTTGCTACCTTTCAGAGATTCTGAAAATTTTGCCTTTTAATTCGCCGCGTTCCCCAAAGTTCATTGCCCTCTGATTCACCTGCTTTGCCGAAATTCCAACCTAATTCGAAAGCTACTTACATCAGTTGCCTATATACAATTGACTTTCCGTGTAAGTATTTTTCCACCTCTTTAAGTTCTTCTTCTAAATTTTTGTACCCCTTTTCGAATTACTTATGGATGATTCTTCAATTTTTTTATTTATTTATTCTTTTTTTTAATAAACGCCTTGAACCTCCTTGCACCTTCGACTGTTTCCTTTTATTAAATACGTCGGTTGTTTTTTTAGTTACCTTATTGCATCTTTTTATTAATCATTGTGTCGAGTCCGAATGGACCGTTACAATGCATTCATTGACTTGCCACTAGCAAGGTCCACTAACAAGCTGAAGAGGTGGTTCGCAGTACTTACTGGTTAATGTGAGGTACTGATGATGAAAGAAAGTTGTTTAGCCATCCTTCTTGGTCACCTGCAGCTTCTTGCTCTTTGAAGGAGGATTGAGAATCACTCCATGTCCACCTAGGTGTTAGTGAGAAATTACCACGCGCGTTGCGAGAACTAGATGAAAAGCCAGAGGTGTCGGGAAGACTTTCGTTTCCTATGCTAATCCAGATGAACAATATGCCCGAGGGGTAGGCCCCCTGGCACGGCAGCTCACAGAACTGATTCACGATGTTCACTTACTGCACTATTGTAGAAAACTGAGTTGTTTCATGCTTACAGCGCACAGAAATTACAGAGCGTTGCTGACCGGGCCATACTCAAAAACTGTTCGCGACGAAGTGTTAGAGGAAGTAATTTCCGACATTAAATAGGAACAAGATTTATTCAGATTTTAATATTTTAATGGCATTTGCTTCAAATTATATTTACGAGATACAACAAATGTTCTCCACAGAATTCCTCGTTCAGAAATTGTAATGTCGGCCATTGTATGTAATCTATGTAATCTAAGGTTCCTGTGACGCCGATCAGCGCCTTCGTCAATTCGGTCGATTTCGTGTTGCCGTGAAGACAGATATTTCCTGGAAAGGAACCGTGCAAATCAAAAGTCTGCAAGTCGAGTGCACTTGTAAAAATAGAAGCCTCGATTACATCCTTCTTGAGTTGTTTTTCCGCACTGGTTATGATCACATTTTTACGTAATTTTTCTTTGCTTTTAGGGCATTTCATTGATCATTTTTGGCAGTGTTTTAGGTCATCAAAATCCGACAATAATAATATTAATAATAATAATAATAATAATAATAATAACAAAATGTTGGTGCCTATTTCACGTCTGATTTCATTGTTTTCGGTGATTAAAGATCCGCAGCTTGGCTGAGCGGAGGTGGCCGAGGTGCCAGCGGCGCAAGAGGCAACAAGGCGAGCCGTTAAGTTCACTGACCTCCACCCGGTGGATGGGGCTGCCAGCGATTGCTGACTGCGGAGGACACGAACACAGAACGTAATGCCTGCGGTCGTCATTCATTCACACGCCCAATAAGATCCTGCCAATCATTCATTTTCCCAAAGTCAAAGCTAAGTCAATGCTTATTTCTCAGGCAAAGCAATACTGGAAATAAAAGGTCACTCCAATAAAAAAAGGTACGGCGAACTGCTTGAGAGGTAGCGGAGGGCATCAACTGATGTCTCTACAGTGCCTATGACCGGGAGGTCCTAGGGTTCGGGTCCCATCGGTGGCACAAACTTCAACTCTACCTTCACAGCTCGGTCGAGTTAAGCGGCTGTCTGGAGAAGAATTCTAGTGGCTGGCTGCTCTGATTTGCAGTTTTCCGTAGTTACTCCGATCAACACCAAGCGAATGCCGGGGCAGTACGTAAACAAACGGGCCACGGACAGCGCGCGATCTTTCCTTCCTCTTCCTTGTCCTACTTCACCCCCTTACATACACTTATACTTACTACAGTACCGCATATCTCGGTACACCGGTCGGGAGCTAAGAGTCTGTCCTGGCAAGGTGGTTCCTCGCTGGTGGGAGAGACCTTGTTGGGGAAAACATTACCAGTCTACGTGTATGTCGGCGCCGGATTTTGACAGCCGGGAGGGGGGCAAGATCTTCGCTACCGTCAGCAATGAAAACATGCACTACACGTAAGGGACTAATGACTTTATCCGTTGACGCGTTAGGAATCACTAATCAATTAATCATTACTGCTTGAGTTAAGTCACAGCCGTGGCAAACAAGACATTTGAAGTGAAGTACAGTCGGAGTGAAAGGATTGAATGAATGGTTATGTAATGCGGCAGCGATTGCGTATCGAAAATGTGTCACTGTAACAATACAATAAAATCAGGTTCGCGAAAAGTACATTACTTACTATTAAGGAGGAAAATATTCAAATTGGGTCATCCAAAGGTAGTAATGTAGTTTATTTGTTCAATTAGAATAAGCCAAAATTAAGTTAGTTTTCGATGGTTATCAAACAAATTAAGCTATTGAAGTGCGCAAGGCAATGACTCAATGTCGAAAACAATTTACAAAATAAATTCCCGTCCCCACACGGGTACTTTAGAAGCACGCAGCGGCATGGCGCGTTGGCGCGTATGTAGTTCTGCGTACCGCCGCCGCGCGTCAGAGCACCACTGCAGCCGATACCGTTCACTGAGCCCGTTAATGGGAAACGGCCAAGGTGCGGTGGGTCATGACAGCATTCCGCCAGTCATTCCGGCGAGAACTGCCTCAACGGCCGAACGCATCAGCCTTGCTACGGCCAGGGCCTGCGATTGGTGTTAAGTCCAAGTTCGTTGTTGGCCTTGGTGACGGTCCCCTCTTCCCCTTCATTTCCCACCGAAAATGTACAAAAATAAGCAAAAAATACAAAACAGAATTTTTCAAATAACCATGTTAATACTTCAATTGTCAACAAATTTTCTCATATTTATTTTATGGAATTTCAGCAGAGTTTATGTTTGCAACTCAAAAACAGTGCTGTGTTTTGCATTTTTTTGATATAAACTCATTTAGCACTGTTTGCAAACCGATTTTGGCGGTCAAGTCGCTACAAATATGTAAAATCGCAATACTGTAGAGCCGATCTTGCAACATTGTTGATCGCATATACAGGATGATTGAGTCCTCGTTGTTAATATGCCGGAGCCATTTCCCATATGTAATATACAGTCAAAATTTGCCGAAATTGGATACTATTCGTTTAGTTTTGTAAATAATTTACAAACATATAAGTTTATGTATACCATATTACGATGTACACTCATACTGTACTAGAATCTTTGAGAATTGTTACTTTTTTGTGTTGCTTGCTCTCACAGTTCACACATCTTCCAGCGTCCTTGAGATTTCAATAGTTTTTGAAACCATTCAAAGGACATTGGGAGTTTTCATTCACCGTTTTCTGCCTCGAGTAACTTATACTTTTCTACAAACCATGTGCTTGCTATGTCGCAACTTTTCACCCGAAAATTGTTGGTTTCAGATTATCGCGTTAGTTTCAAAACTCTGATTTTCCTTTGTGAAAGACATGCAATTCTCTATAATGCATTTTCAAGAAAAACTCAGCACTTTCTCAACAACTCCATGTACACGTGAAAAACCTGGCAACAAACAACTATCAGTCGCGTGGGGGTATTTATCAGTACTAACAACTCACCCCTCCTACCCCTCCTATCACGTATTTGATCAGGACACTTGGCAAACAGTACGCATGCATGTGTAGGGTAGTCACGATGCCTCCCCAAATCCGTTACGGAGTCCCCAGTCGTTAGCACGTAACCACTGGGGTTCCAGTCCTACTGGAAGAACAAAGGTGCTCAAAGGAGGCGATGGCGAAGCTTTGAGAGACGCTAATGAGAAGTGAAGTTGCGACAGCTGGCATCGCATCACCGTCGACCGAAAGCTCGTATCTTCCACACAGCACATGGTGAGAGTTCAATGACCTCGGGAACAAAGCGAAGCCGTCTAAGGGATGATTCTCGACCTGACACATCCCCGGTCACAGACGTCTACCGGAAAGCGAATGAGGAAAACAACAAAAGGTACAAACTGAACAGAGAGACATACTTGAAGAGTAGAAAAACTTTTTAACAAAAGTTTTAAAGGGGCCGAAAGACTTGGGGATCACTCGCATCCATTGAGCCTACGCCACTGAAGTTTACTCAGTTATTAGCGTTTTTAAAGGGGGAAAGTGTAGGACACAAGACAAAGAAGTCCAAAATATTTTTAAAAGAAAATTGACAAAGTACGCCATTTACCGCACTAGTGTGGTAATGTACATTACCACACTAGAGCGGTAAAGTACTTTATTACGAAACTGATTATAATAGCATAATGTTTCACTTTACCTAATCAAAGTGGATGAGTTAAGGAGTAAATTAAAAAATGACCATATTAGATAGGTTTTCAACTTCAATAACAGCACGGATCAGAGCATGTATGAATGACGAAAATTGTGAATATGTGTGTGTGAATATGATAAATCTGTATTTGTTCACTCTATAAAAATGTAAATTGTTTATTATTTACAAAAGAAATTAATATATTTGTTCACAAAGAAACATTAACACAGAAATAAAAAAGTACCCAATTTACACAATTAGACCGCTTTTTTATTACGGGGATAATTTTTCTTTCTGAACAAATAAATTAATTTCTTTTGTAAATAACAAACAATTTACATGTTTCTACAGTGTTTCTATGCTTCTGGAATGCAATTTTTTACCTACAAAGCATTTTTTCAAAACAACTTTTGAGTTCTTTTAGCGGCTTGGCCATTCGGAATATTCAAGCGGTTTATTAGACCAAATACGCTTAAAATTGTCTTAAGAGCTTACTATATATATATATATATATATATATATATATATATATATATATATTGAAGTGAGCTTTTTGTAGTTACAAATAAACAAATATGACAATAATTAAATTAACTAATATTTTATTTTGCATAATGATTCATTTCGAGACATAATGTAAAACGAAACAGTTACTTTTTATGCAGATATCAATAAAATTCTCACAACTAAAATTAATTATATAATGAGGGGATTTACAACTATATCAAGAGAATTATTAATTTATTGGTAAACAAATGTGAAAATAATTAAATAAACGTATATTTTATTTTGCATAATGATTTATTTCCAGACTAAATGTAAAACTCAATAGTTACTGTTTATGCAGAAATCAATAAAATTTTTACAACTAAAATTAATTATTTTATGATGAGATTTATGATTATATCAAGAGAGTTATTTATTATTAAGTGTAATTCATTTCGACTCTCTTATCAACATTCTTCGTATTGTCAGGACTATGACAAGAAGAAACACATGACAAATACCTTTTATGAGAATCTAACAATTTATCAGTACTTAAAAGATTTATTTTCTTCTCTGGTGTTTCCAGAAGGGACAATTCTGCAACAGTATTGTGAACATTCAGTTTTAACTCCAAAACATCACCAAGTAATTTCTCCTGTTGGATAATATGCTGTGTTGTCGCATGCTTCAAATTGAAATAGAAGTTATCATATTCTGCTTCATCTTCAGACGCATTTTTTGATTTTGAAATTTGGGAATTAGTTTCCTCACTAGCCATATTTCTTGACACTATACCTCGCAATATATCTGAAGAAACAAAAAAATACACAAATATGTGAAAAAAATACATTTTAACACAAATATCTTATTGTTTGGTATATGCAACAAGAAATAGTGAATATTTTATGATTGCATCCCAAAAAAAGCATGCTATAATAATACGTACGTTCTCGCATTATTTGTAACCATTAGGTAATATATTTTTAAACATACATTAATATAACTTTTTCATAATTAAAAAAATAATGAAAATAACAGTAATGTCATGTTATTAAATGCATTAAGTTCTCTCCATTTAAAAAGTTTAAGGAAAATATTTGCAGCCACTTTTGAGAAAAGTTTATTTTTAACATTGCATTTACTTCTCGCAAAACTTGGCGAAAACTAATATAAAAAATATACACGATCTTAAAGAGCTGTCCAGAAGAAATTTTACGATCTTCAATATTCTAATTTGTAGAAAGATTCCGAAAAAAGTTGTCTTTTAAGTATTGTCTCTCGACTGTTTCCGTGGAGAGATGCATTGGTGCAAGAAGAGAAGACTTTTTAGTGGGTGGAAGTCTTACATACCTTCTCAATCCCTGACAAAGCATGAAGCAATTTCTCCCTCATTCAATAATAATAATAATAATAATAATAATAATAATAATAATAATAATAATAATAATAATAATAA